ATATCGGTTTTGAAAGGAAACGTTAGCACAGTTGTATGTAGCCGACAAAATTATACTTCTTATGCGAACGTTCCTGTGTAATTGTTACCATATCAATGTATGTACAAAGCTTGCTTGAAATGGATTTTAATGCTACGTATCTTTCTTCACGCATTCCAAATCCTTTATAAGTACGTCACGACAAGATTTTATGTGTGTATATATGTACGTATATTGTAAAAAAAAGAGTGATATGTGATTTATGTATATATGTGTGTATTTGTATATCGGGAAAAAGAGATATGTGGTAATGTTTTATCCAATATAAATCTTCACGCCAAGTTCTTGTCTGTCTTGCTACTGGGTTGTGTTTCTCTCCTAAGGAAGCTTACTCTCGGAACGTGACGTTAGACTAGAGCATTGTGGGTAGTATAGATGGAAGAGACTATATCGATGGATGTTTGTAATTGAAATGAATTGTGAAATGGAAAAGCAAATTTTTGAAACCCAAACTTGCCCAAAGATGTGTGAACAACATCAATCGATGTATCCTACCTTGATTACAACCACTTCTATACATGGCGTGGCCTTGTGAACGAACTATTAGAATACTCCATTTGTATTGGTCCTTAATTTAAAGGGGTTCATTTATGGAGTTCTTCTGTATACGATCAAAGCCACCCATCTAAAGTGAAGAATGGGACACAGAATGAGCGCTATATACGTTAATTCATCATTTTGGTCCGCATGAAGTATCCCTGACATTCATACATTGCCCATCAAGACAGTGTGGCTTTGATATGTAGAAATATTAAAGTCTGTAGCAGCACCCTTATTAGAATTCTGAAAATAGCAGAAATACAGATATTGAGTACATCGTGGAAATGAGTATGATAATGATATAACTGTTCAACAACAGAGTAACAATTGAAACATTGCGGTCTTTCCATTCCATCCATTGTCTTTTTGTTTGGTGTTATCATGGCACAAGTATATCTAAAATCGCAAAAAAAAAACTCATGTTAAGGCATGACAGAAATACAAAAATGTAACACAGCTCCGTATACATAAATAATGACATAACTTATTCCCTCCCACAAAATAACACAACATACATGTATATACTTGTATATACTTGTTCAGCTCATAGACTGTTCACTGGAAACTGGAAAAACTAACAATTAGTTGTAACGGTTACGGTTAAAACACTGGATAATAATTGCACTCGCCGCTTTAGTATCTCATCCATCTTCACCACAAATTTTCTGTATATAATAATACTGTCCCTGTTGGTTTTTGATACTGTACGTTACAAACCTGCATCGCCTATATTGCATAGTAATATAGGTCATGAACAGTTAAAACAAACGAAAAAGTTACAGATGCTCACTAAGTTGATACACATCTTTTCTCTGGACTATTTATTAAATTATATAAACCCTTGGTGACTGATATACAAACTGACGACAATACTTGTCCCACAACATACTAGTAATCTACAACTTCGTATCCTCTTCCTCGTCTGCTTCTTCTACATCCGGTAGAGGGTTGTTTGTGAGGTATTTGTTGACGTCACTTCCGGCGGCCGCCATCATGGCACTGAAGCGTGAGTTGGGGTCGGACATGAGAACCGCTGGGGGGTCAAATTCCAACTGCTGGAACAGACGTGTGGAGAGATGTGAACATCGACAGCTTCTACTACCCCGCCTCTGCCAAACACTCTCATTCACACTCACTCACTCACCCACTCACTCACCCACTCACTCACTCACTCACTCACTCACTCACTCACTCACTCACTCACTCACTCACTCACTCACTCACTCACTCACTCACTCACTCACTCACTCACTCACTCACTCACTCACTCACTCTCACTCACACACACACACATACACACACACTCAAGTGAGCGCACATGTATACACACACACAGACACACACATTAGTACATACACACACAAACATGCACGTGCACACACAGGCACACACACACACACACACACACACACACACACACACACACACACACACACATGTACGCACGCACACATACACAGAGAGAGAGAGAGACATACACACATATATGCATGCACACTCATACGTAACATACAGGCACATACAAACACACATATAAGCACGCACACACATATACAAAGGCACACGCGCACTCATAGACGCACACCTTTACACACTCTCCACACACGTCCGGCTCTTACTCTTCTTTAACTTACGCAGAGAGTTTCCCCCACAAGTACATGTACCTACAGCATACCTTTCCATCCTCCATGACTATAATACGGTCGCTGTTCAGCACGGTGTTGAGTCGATGAGCTATGGTTAACATGGTGCAGTCTGTGAAGGCCTCATGGATGGTCTTCTGTATCAGGCTGTCTGTCTCCGAGTCGATGGCCGCTGTTGCCTCGTCAAGTAGAATGATCTAATAAGCAGACATTGGAGGGTAAAGTCAATTAAAGCCCAATTTTCGTCTTAAGACATTAGGCCACACCAAGTAAATTTTATGGATGACGTCCTTTGGAGACCCTAAATCTAATGCGAGAGGGCGAAAAAAAAAACAAGAAGGGCCCTAAAAAACAAGAGGCCTAGATCAGAAAAATACTAAGAGACGACAAATGTTAGGACACAAATTGAATGAGGTGACACAGATTAACAAGCAAGAAGTCTTTTATTCATCATCAAAACAGCAATAAATCAGGTGGAACAGAAGTTATCGTCCTGTCCTGTTTTCGCGTTACGGGTTTCACGTCAATCTGACGACTTGCGGCACTGTCGTGGCTCTTTGGTCATAGTTACAGGAAGCGGAATTTCTTGTTTTTTTTTCTAGGAACAGGCCAAAATCAATGCGCGCGCGGACGTCATCCATAAAATTTACTTGGTGTGGCCTTACGTAGAAGCACGTTAACGGAAACTGTTACCTAAATCTTCATCATCAATGCAGGGAAACATTCAGGTGACCTGTAGTCAAAACTGCTGAAATTTGTAACGTCCCCCGTCTCTGCTAAATGAAGTGTAGATGGTGATCCTGACACCCACTCAACGTAAAGAAAGCCATGCAAAACATTACGTAAATGCAGGTGGTAAAACTTATACTGACCAAGTGTATATGATCACGCGTGGGCCCTGGTAACGACTATTTCGGAATTGTAGAAAGAAAATACTGAAGCCTCACTTACTGACTTAATTACTATATTCAACACCAGGCCGACTCGTGGTTGGCCAATACTCACCTTGCTGTTCCTGAGCAGGGCCCTGGCCATACATACAGATGAGCTGCCGTTCACCCACTGAGAAGTTTTCACCGTTTTCTACCACGGGAGCCTCTGTTTCTCTAGCCCCGATATCTGTGAGGAGGAACAATAATGCGTCTTTAAGGAAACGAAATCAATTAAAAAGGATCGACTCAATCAAATCATTAAATTTGGGAATCAAATTAATCAATGACTGAATTGTTCATTACCGCATCCTTCATGTAGGTCCTCTCTAGTGCACGCCATAGCTCTGGATCATGGTACTGATTGAACGGGTCCAAATTATACCTGATTTTGGACACGGCACGTGCACGCAATCAGTCAGAGAATCATAGAACTGAATCATAGAACTAGAAAAAATGATTTAGTGTCATTCTTTTCATATTTAGCGATATCTATAAAATTTTGCATAATTTATTTTGTAGTTAAAATTATACTACATAAAATGCATAACCGTTCTGATTTTGTAAAAGTGAAAATCCCAAGAATTGGGAATTGTTTCTTCGAAGTTTGGGTTGTTCCATTTCTTAAAGAGAGGGGGGTTCCACTACGTACCTGACAGTTCCTACAAATAAGACCGGATCCTGTGGGATGATGGAGAGTTTGCTGCGGAGGGACTGGAGACCGATCTTGCTGACGTCCACCCCGTCGATCAAGATGGTCCCGTCCGTCGGCTCCACCAATCGAAACAGAGCAACGCCCAGTGACGACTTGCCTAATGATATCAAGTTACATCAAAGAGAAACTGAGTACAAAAATGTTTTCGTTCTTCTGCTGTGCACATGGTTAATTGTTCGTCATACATATCATATCATATCGTATCATATCATATAACTATCGACTATATAATGGGAGTCATTGGAAAAAGTTTATGGAAAAAACAAAAACACGGAAAAGCGGAAGTGTTGCCTTACCCGATCCCGTTCTACCCACAATTCCCACCGACTCTCTGGGCCGGATGTTGCACTGAACGTCCTTCAGCACCAAGGGCAGGCTCTCCATGTAGCGCATCTGGTACCGGTCAAACTGCACAACGCCCTGGTCAGGCCAGTTTTCAGCCGGGTCCACGTCTTTTATATGCTCTTGGGCTTCCTGTTCCAGATTCTGTGAGGGAAAAGTCCAGGTATTATGCAATGACTTGACAGGAATGTGGTTAAATGTGGTTGTTAACGTACGACATATCATCATCAAACAAACGAAATCAACACTTGCCAATACATTTGCAACAGAGACGGCACAGTCATTACTATACTGTGCATCAATGCACGTTTTGTCACTTTGTTTTCAGTGTTTCTTTGGTGGTAGTCAGACTAGAATGTTGAAGTACGTACGTCGGCATAGTGTGTTATCCTCTCCACACACGTGAACCTGGACTCCGTCTCTGACGCCATCCGGACGGTCAGATGTAGCAGGCCTGACGTCTGGCGGAACACGCGGGAAATACAGTTCTTATCGTTAGTCATGTGATTTACAGTACTGCCACTACTACTTCTAACACTACTACATGTACATGTGCTCGCACCGCCGCTACCGCCATCACAACTACTACTACAACTACTGCTGCTGCTGCTCCACTACGTATAGTACTAAATACTACAACCAGTACTGGTAATAACTATTACTACTACATTGTGCACTAATATAAAATATCTACCGTTGATACTACAATTACTACAAACAAGTACTATGTATAGTATTAAATTCTACAACCAGGACTGCTAACTACTTTTAAATTAGTATTACTACTACTTTATGGATGATCTGACAGTGACGACTGAAAGTGTGATCAGTGCAAGATACGTACTCAGGAGTCTGAGCAAGGCAGCCAGCTGGGCTAGAATGAAATTCAAAGCCAACTAGAGTTCGGAGGACTCATGCCTTCGACAGTGTGATATTGCTTTCGTGGGTGTTGTGTGTATGTATAGTGTAGGCTTTTTGAAGATGATTATCGTAGTTTCCGTCAGGACCAAAGAAAAATGATCGCAGTTGTATCTCGCGTTGGGGTGGACGGATGTAATTGGGACTCGGTATACGTTCTGCTATTGGGCTGTAGATGGTGCACGTTCTTTTGTTCTTATTGTATTTGTGTTTTCGGGCGTGAAAATGAATTTTATTGGCGGCCCCCGGACACCCCTTTGACTCAGTTTGAGTCTGAAAATGGTCGCCCGGGTTGACCTTTGGTGTGTTTGTGGTATTATGAGATTGGTCCACTTTTTTGTCACAGAGGGGTGTTCCACAGAGGGGGTGTTCGGTGTCGATGAAAGATTTGTTTTCAACAAGGCACTGGTATCATTGGCGGGTGGATATGGTGAGATATTAGTTGTTCCTGACGTTTTAAATTAGATACAATCGAACGCAAGTTTGCGAGTAAGTAAAGTGGTGTATGCTAAAGTACGGGACATCACCAGGACCAAGGACATTCTATCACCGTGTGATGAAAGCTTCTTGCCGGGACAGACCTCGATCTGCTACGGAAACGTGTATAGAGAGCGACCGGGCCGTCACGCCGAAGGTTACGTGGCTAACACTTCCGGGTTATCGAACAAGGACATTATACAGGTCCTTGAACGAACGTAAAATTATGTGGAAAAATGCCATAAATCCGCAAATAGATATATATTTTTCCTCAAAGGTTCTTTGAATTGTGGCAATCATATTTTCACTAAATGTGGCTATGCAATCGTGGAAAACAGCGTTTTAGGGG